CCCCCCCGCCATAAGGATACGCCCCCCCTCCCCCCCCACTGTATATAAACCAAACGAAAAGTATTCGCACAGCTCTGGACGAAGACAAGTCCAACGCCGACATTGTCGGCAACGCCACTCTTTTTGCTGCGGAGAAATGGAGCTTTGAAAATGATTGATCTAGGGGTGTGATATCTCGTGTCACCTACGGTAATTGTCTTTTTTTTTCATGGACGTGTGCAGAGTGTTTTGGTCGTTGCTCTCTTGCTTTTCTTGTGAAGAATGCCTGTTTTGATGCACGCCTGCTTTGTTTTTGTTTTGACGCCTCATGAGTGCTGTTTGCTGTCATCCACAGTGCTAGCTACCCCTTTTCGCTTTGCCTCTCTCTGTGACTTCACGGCTTTGATCCGAGGGGCCACCGATGTCAAACCCAATCGCCGTGTTTGGCAAGGTGCTGCGGTAGACCCCAAAAAACCAGTTAAGGTCGTTTTCTCGGACAGCCTGTGTCGGAATGAATCGTAGCAAACATGTTGCCGGTGTGTCTCCGCGATTGGGGGATTCCACGTTTGCCTAATTCTTTTTCGTTTGCGTTGGTAGATTCGTCAGGGGCTGAAAGAGAAAGTATGGTGATTCAAAAGGGGGTGCTGGTTTACGAGTGACCCAGCATACATCCCTGATGGTGGGCCCATGGCATCATATTGCCCAGGGGCCCCGTACATGAGTATCGGTGGTACCGAAAATCCCAAGCAACTCTGATCGAAGGCTGTCCACCCTCCGCGCAGCAACGAAAGCACTAACTTACCCCAAGCGTTACCTGTAAATGTTCTTTGCAGAACGGGGTACCCAGTACCCAGCAAGATACTATTGCAATACGTCCGCGACCCCCCCCCCTCCGCCTACCATCCGCGTCACCCCCTTTCTTGCAACCGAAAACAGTCTCGCACCAAAAGCTACTTCGCGGACCTGATTCCACGGATCGTGTTCCACCACAGCAGCCCGGGTTTGGCTTCCATGGAGCGTTCTTTGATAGGGGACAGTGCCGAACCATCCCCGGTCACGCCGGGACCCACGATCTCGGCGGTGCAGCTTACCCCCGTGAGTTTGCTCCATGGAGCAGGCAGGAACGCGGGCACTATTGGGGTGGATCGTTTTTCTTGCTTGTTGGATTGCCGACACGATGCTCTGTGTTCCAAGCGCTGCTGGCATGCAACGACTTTCTACGGCGTTGTAGGAGGTTCCGGGGTGGTAAAGCAAGCAGTCCACATGTCTGCTTTCCAGAACCGTCGGCGAGCTCTCCTTCTGAGTTGCCACGTTTGTCTCGGGCACTTTTTTTGCAAATGAATTGTCGCCTAACTGGGTCGCATACGCCAATCGATCCTTCTCGTACGTACCATTATGTTGCCGTTTATGAGCAGCAGCCTGAGACCTGAATCCTAGATGCTAGATGCTAGATGCTAGATGCTAGATGCTGCTCCATGGTGTTGTTGCGTTTTTTTTGGTTGTTTTTGTTGTTGTCTGAGGACTGGCGCTGGACGATTGCCTCGACACCTTTTTTGAGTTTTACACTGCGGGTGGACCCGGGGAATCAGTGTAGTTTTCTCTGTTCATGCATTGGATGTCCGCCGGCACACTCTAGTAGACTCGACGCACACTCTCGCTTCTGTGGAAATTGTTGTGCTCTGTCCTCGAAATGGTACCGACCGCACTAACCGACTGACCAAAGAGTAGACGCGGCAGGGAAGAGGCCATTATGCTTTTCATTGTCGCAAGGTGCATCCACGTTCTGGAGGGGAAACATCGTTTATTTATTTATTTATTTATTGCATTCCTCCTGCTGCACCTACTCCTTTGCCGGCACGGTCACCCTATCGTCGATCACACCCTGTTTTTTTTCGCTTTCTTGGTAAAAATGATTCATTTTTTTTGTTTTGCTAACGTAAATATTACAGGTAGCGGCGTTGAAGCAGTGCCTGGATCAGATGATGCCTGCCGTCGCCAGAGAGCAAGCCTTCTTCAGCACCTTGTTCGGTCTCGATCCCGCCAAGGAGCCCCAAGACAGAGACGCTGTGCACAAGTGAGCGAACGCGGGGGGGGGGGGAGGGCTAGTCATGTTTTGCATGCCTTAGCGG